CTCTCTCTCTGTGTGTACTGTATATATAAAATAACCAGTAGTGTTGCATTATGGGATAATGTATTTTCTGTGGTACACTCTAAAAAAATGCTGGGCTGTTTCAACCCAGCTTTGGGTCAAATATGGACTAGCCCAACTTTTGGGTTAAAAATGTAATTGTAAAATTTAACCCAACAGCTGGATTAGTCCATATTTGACCCAAAGTTGGGTTGAAACAACCCAGCATTTTTTTAGAATGCCATTGATCATTTTCTTATTTATTTTTCTTATTTTATTTAGTGAAATCGACCCCTATAAAATAAGATTTGAACTTCAGCAAAGGATAGTGGTAGACTTCAAAAGTATATTGACATTTGGCGGACTGTACATTCAGTATTGTAATACAGTTCAGTTGTGTGACAAAGCAGATTGTGTCCTAATGATTACTGACAGATTTCTTTTTAAAGTAGACTTCCCTGAAAGTCATTGAATAATTCCCACATTGAACCAATGTAATAGTGTTACCTAACACAGTTGGTTGCACTGTGTTCTTTCTTTCTGTACTGTAATGTAACGCTCTGAACATGTCATTTTACTGTAAAAAAAAAAAGAACTATTACTGTGGAGGTATGACTATGTAAATTCTTACTGAATAGCTTTCCCTATCATTTGACACTTACTGTGTTCTTCCACCCTTCTTCTATGATTTTGTAACATGATCCCACAGAGTTCAGCTTGTATGCTCTAACAGCCCGATACCTGGAGGAAAATTGCTATTTACTGAGAAAGGAGTTACTTAATTAGTGACACTTTTCATTGCTGGCTATTTTCTTTTCGCTTGCAAATGATGGAAAAAAGGTTGCATAAACATTTTGAAATTTTCAAATAGCCATCATTAGGTAATACTGTTTGTATTACTGTGACATGCTGTGAATTATAATTCCGCGTCTAAATGACTCTTCTACATCCATTGAGATGTTCTAGTTCCAGGGATTCCCAAAATATATATTATCAGTGTTTTGTATATATATGATCTATTTTAATATAGAATAAAATATTATATATTATATTCTATATGTTTATTATGTTTGTTACAGCCAATAATAGAAGTGAATATTAGACAGTACTTAGCTTTTTAATACTCTGGGTCCCTGAGTTAACTGAAAGTCTGCATGGGGTGTCCTGGGGACTGTAAATGTTGAAATCCCCAGTTGTAGTTGATGATTGATGTGTTCAGGTTCTAATCTCAGGACGACATCTGGCATGTTTATGGTAGTCATCTTCACTCCCGCCCAGCTGTTTTCATTCTCCCTGTATTGGAAGATTACAAGTTCTCATGCAAAAATCCCACAAAGACATTTCAATCAAGACAGAGTCAGTGATATAACTCCAGCAGTGTCCCACAAATAATGCCTTACAGAGTGAGGCAATCATTCATAATTTCTGACTGCACTGGTGGTTGGTGTGTCCCATATATTAATACAGCCCACCTGAGCATTATGCAGGCTGGCGAGCGAGCGAGACAAGAGACAGAGAGAATAATTTATTGTTGCATAAACCATCAGGTCTTAAAGTTCAGCTGAGGTTGTGGTGACGAATTGTGGTATGGAATCTGAAATTATTGGCCAAGAGATGGTTTTAATGGGTCGAGTGCCATTGTCATCATTTTATTTTCTTTCCATTACCCTGTCCTCCTGCATGGCTGGTCTACAGTTTTGCACATAAATAATTTTGTGATCAGTGTTTGTGATGACAGTTATAAAATCTTCATTTATGCTGTCATCCAGTTATCAGATAAAAATGATTTTCATAATTTACTCACTCTCATGCTGTATTGTTAACTAAAATTAAAACTACAACTAAGACCATTACAAAAAGTGTTACTTGAAATAAAATAAATTATATATATATATATATATATATATATAAAATTAAAGGGGTCATATGATGTTGCTAAAAAGAACATTATTTTGTGTATTTGGTGTAATGAAATGTGTTTATGC